CGGAAAGAACAACCGAAAAGAGAGCACTCAAGTTTTGAGATGTTTGTCTGAGGTTTCATTTGGAGCACTGTCTTTGTAAATTAATGCATCACATCATACTTAATAGTTTTGGTGTGTTTTTCAGTGAAAGCAATCGAAAATATTTACTAACGTGTAATGCAAATGTCTTCCTAACTCAAAATTCCAACTATATAAAAACTCTTACAACTGTTTTAGAATTTTAAACTGGGCTTATTTTAGGCAAATTTCATTATTAATACTAATAATTTTTTTCATATAAATAGCAAAAAAATAAAAATTTATTACCCAAACATTAAAACCCACACTCTAAACATAAAAAATATATAAATAGGAAAAAAAATTATTATTACCCGAACATTAAAACCTACTCTAAACATTAAAAAAAAAAATTTGAGAAAAGGCTAAATATATCTATTTTTTACAGAATGATATTTTGTGATTTTCACCTTATGTTATTTTTTGGATTTAAAATTATTTTAATAATATTTGAAAGCAATCCTCTTTATCTTATTATATAGGGATATACATCTGATTAATTTTTTCATTAACAAACATTTCCAAAATCGTTTATTCCACCAATTCTCTAAGAAAATAATTATCTTTTATTTTTAAATAAAATAGAATGAACATTTTATTGATTCTATCTGTACCAAATTATTATTATTTTTTAATTATTTTGATTAATATTGAATAGGATGTATTTACTCCTTTACCATTCACGGGCTAAACGAAAGCATAAAATTTATAATGAAAATTTGGAAGAGAAGAACGTGTACCGAAATATAATTACAATTGTAATGCCATGTGGACTATCCAACGCGCCAGCCACCTTTCAGTCACTGATGAAAGAGGTATTTCGTGAGTACTTACGCAAGTTCGTCTTTGTCTTCTTTGACGACATCCTTGTGATTAGTAAGACGGCTCAAGTTTTGAGATATTTGTCAAGAATATTACAATGACTATGTATGTGAACTCATTACCTCTGGACAGAAAACCACGTCTTCACTCATAAACGTCTAAATTATACAATGTTATTGTTATACGATTTCGAGCTCATTATCATATATATTATTAATGATAAATAGTATATGGTTAATATATATTATACCTTGTGCAACTTAACCAATTTAAATTTATAAAAAAAAATTATTTTATTTTCAATATATAACAATTTCGGTTTAATTATTGATTATTTTATTTTTAATTATTATTATTTTTGGTTTATTGTAGAAAGATCTTTTACAGCAATTTTTATCAATTTGTAACAAAGAAAAGTCTAGTTATAGTTACGTTAATAATTGCATTTATTTATTGCTATCGTATTAACACATTAGATAACGTCACCGAAACTGCTATCTTAGAAGGGGTATCTATGATGGCTGCCGATTACATGGCAGATGGTAAAAAACTATGAAAGACCTACTATAGCGTTAATCGTGAGCTAAGAATGTTAATATTTCTTGTATTGTAGAAAAAAGTGAATGCTTAAGATGATAGACATCTTAATTGTTATCAGCTGTTATGAATGATGAATGTAAAGTAAGAACCATTGGTATATAACGTGGAAGATAAGATGAATATGAATGAGATGTCATTTGGTTTCAGTGTTTGAGAATGTGAATGTTATGTGTAATGTGTCAGACACAGATAACGGGTGACGTCTGGAGTTGAGTATGAGTCTAAGGGTGTGCGAATGAGTTAAAGTGAATTGAGAACGAGGATCAAAATGAGTTAAAGTGATAAGAATGGAAATGATAATGAGTATGAGAACGAGAATGAGAATGAGGATGAGAATGAGTGAATGAGAATGTGGTCGTGTCAATGAACTTGTTTGGAGTCATGTTTGGACCACCGAGAACGGGTGGGCGTCTAGAGTCTAGGATGTGTAACCTGTGGGACAGTAGCCTAACAAGAGGTACCGCAGGGGCCCACGGGACAGTAGCCTAACACGAGGTACCCGTGGGAGAGACCTCTGGGAGGGAACTGCGGGATAAAATAAGTATAGCCGCCTTAGGATCGAGTCAATACTGAGTCGTGGTATAATTATGGCTATTAATACCGGGTGACAGACAGAGCTGGTAAATATAATATAAATCTTGCGTCGTGACTGGATCTGATTCATCCCATTCAGGTTCTCATTCCTCCTTGTGTCTCTGCAGATAGAAGTTTGATGAGAGATGAAGGCAGCTAAAAGGTGGAGCGTAGGAAACCTAGTGTCATTACCTGGAGCTCGCCACCGTGTTCCTGCAAGAAGACGACTATGGATCATCATGTCGCTTTCACTGATCATCATGACGCTTTCACTGATCACAATGTTGGCTATAATGGCTTACATGTACCCTCATAACAGCAAACGTGCTTGTTATATGGTTTCTTCAAGGGGATGCAAGGCTTTATCTGACTGGCTTCCACCTCTTCCAAGGGAGTATTCAGATGATGAGATTGCTGCAAGAGTAGTGATTAGAGAAATAATGAGTAATGTTCCTGTTATAAGAAGGGATTCCAAGATAGCATTCATGTTCTTGACGCCTGGTCCATTGCCTTTTGAGAGGCTTTGGGAAAGATTTTTCCAGGTACATTTTTGTTCTAAAAAACAAATTTATTCTTCA